AGAGAGCTTGGCAAGTGTTTCCTACAAAAACATGCTCATTTGACTCAGAGACCTCCTTAAGGAGCACTCTGTAAAGTAAAACAATTACATTTTTTAAGGACACACACCGCCAATCATTACTGCAAGCGGCAGTGAGGCCAGCCCGGCCCGGGGACAGGCCCTCAGCGGGTTTGGGTTTGGGGTTATTGTTACAGGAGCGTCTGTGCTTCAGGGTCCTTCTCTTCGGGAAAGATGGATGATAACTAAGTGCGGCAAGTCCCCGCACCAGCGTCCCCATCTGCCAGAGAGAACACATCTGCGTGTCCCGGGAAGGCTCTGAGGACGCGGGGCCTCAGGAGCCACCTGGGCCAGGAGTGACCTGCCCGGGACCCTGGCAGGAGGCAGAGCCGGGCTGTCGGGGTCACTCAGGCTCTGGACGTGCTCACGGTCCCGATGGCCCACGTGACGGACGGGAAGGTGACAGAACAAAAGCACGAGGAAAGCACCGTCCCTGCCCGTTTCACCCACAGACCCGGCGCGGCTGCAGGCTCTGAGCTCCCCAGAGACGCCCGGACCTCCCTCTCTCGCTGGGTGGCTCCTGGGGAGCCCCTGAAGTGAAACCGCAGGGCACCCAACGAGGCGGACGACCCTTCCCCTGCAGTGGCATTCCAGTGCCCGAGGCCCAGGTGCACCCGTCCACCTGGTGACCAGGCCCCCCAGCCACCCACGTCCCGGAGGTCAGGCCCACCCTCCTTGTCTCAGCGGCAGAGCCGGAGGGGGGATGAGCAGCACCAGGGATTACTAGGAAGCGGAAAGCAGGCTGCCCGCGATTTGAAGTTTTCCAAACTACGGAAACGTTTTGCCATGGAGAGATTCCTGTCCTCCAGCTCTGCACGCCTGCATTTTCCTAAGGTGGTTTACACGCAAAAAATAAACAACAAAGGCAGGCCTCTGGCCCCGAGAGACGGAGCCTGTGCCCTTCCTTCTCTCCGGCTTCCTGGCTCCCAAGCTCCTCCTGCTCCCGTTGGCACCGCAGGTGCGCGCGGCGCGGGACAGGCCGCTTTTCCAGCCGTCAAATACCGTCATCAACGCCATGGGAGGCCGCCGTCCCCAAAGAGCACCGGAGAAGCAAACACTCGCAGCCCTGCTCCCCCGGCGTTAGACACTGAGGACCCTGACAAGGTCAACGCCGCTCGGCCTCCTGGTGACGCGGGCGGAGCCAGCAGCCCAGCCCTGGCAGGCAGCCAGCCGCTCCTGGACATGATGCTGCGAATGGGAACATGATGTTGACAGGAAGTTATAAAATTGAGACGATTATACCACTTTCCAAACCCATATTCTCCACTCAAGTATTTCTGGGGAAGGAAAGGTAATTTGTACTGAAAAGAAAAGAAAAAGAAACCCCTGTACGAAGCTGTATGGACAGGGTGGGCAAAAGGAGGCTGACAGTTGTTCGTTGGGAAATGCAGTCACTGGTAAGCAATAATAAAAAAATAAGCTGTTTTCCAGACTCACCGCTGTCCTTTTGCCCCCGTGCAGTCGGATGGCTAACGGGAACAGGAGTCACAGGTGTGAGAGGAGAGCAGGATGCTCTGCTCACAGCCCCTGCGCCGCCATCGTCAGCACCCCTGGGGCATGGGCTCTCCTGCCCGAAGGCAAGCCAGGTGGGAAGGTCTCCTCCAGGGGCAGCACCCAGTTCTATCAGGTGGTCAGAGGCCTTTCTACACACACACACACACACACACACACACACACACACACACAAGACCCAGATGGCATCCAAGGTGAAATTAGCCAGAGCGTGAAGAGAAAGTCATACTAATCCCACACATGAAGTCAAGAAACCGAAGAGGAGCCTAGCTGGTTCGCTCAGTGGTCAGAGCATCAGCTTGCAGACAGAAGGGTTGAGAGTTCGATTTCCAGTCAAGGGCATGGTTACAGGCTCCCCAGCCCCCGTGTGTGTGGAAAGCAACCAATCGATGTGTCTCTCTCATGTGGATGCTTCTCTCTCTCTCTCTCTCTCTCTCTCTCTCTCTCTCTCTCTCCCCCCCCCCCCGCCCCCACCCTCCTTCCCACCTCCCTGCAACCGAAACTTGACAAGAATACAATAAAGACACTTCCCTCATGAACTTACACACTTAATCATGAAACAAAATAGCAAAGTTAAACCCGTAAGACGTAAAAATAAAACAAAAACCATGACTTAAGTGGTAGAGCCCAGCATTTGAGATGGGTTTAAAATCCTAAAATTGGCTTAGTTCACCACACATGATCATGTTGACATGTGTACAGAAACCTTTTGACGAAATTCAACAGACTGGGGAAACACCCTCAGCCTGAGAAGGAGCCCGTGCGCCCACAGAGGCCCTGCCCCTCAGGCCGGGAGGTCCTGGGTGCCCCCCCACCCCCCGAACAGGGAGGGCGGGCCACTGTCACCACCTGCATTCAGCATCACCCGGAGGCTCCAGCCAGAGCAATAAAAAGCAGAAATAAAAGGCATCGTGATTCTCTATAAAGAAAATCGTAGGCACCTGGGAAACACTTCCTGGAACTAATAAGAGAATTTAGTAAGGTGGTGGAATATGAGATCAATATACAAAAGTCAATTGTTACATCCCAGCAGCCAGACAAGTAAAGCAGTTTTAAAAGGATTCTGAATACCATCCGACCGTTCAGCAATCAGATTTACAAAGACCAGGCGGGATCTCTAAGCTGGACACCACACCGCTGCCGAGAGAAACGGAAGGGAAACTAAACCAACGCTGAGGTAAACTACAGTCGTTCGCTTCAGAATTAAAAAGATGTCAGCCTGCCCCAAAATGATATAGATTCAACGAGGTCTCAAGCAAAATACCAATATGCTTTTCTTTTCTTTCTTTCTTTCTTTCTTTCTTTCTTTCTTTCTTTCTTTCTTTTTTTTTTTCTTTTCTTTTTTTTTTTTTAGAGATTGAAGCCTTGACTGTAAAGGTAATATGGAAAATCAAGACACCTAAAGCCAAAACAACTTTTTCCCCCCTAAAATCAAGTTAGAGGACGCAGGTTACCTTAATTCAAAGCACCCAGTCAGCATGGTGCTGACATAGAACAGACGGGGCGAGCACTTGAACAGAACTGTCCAGGCCTCACTGGCACTCACACGTGTGGCCAATCGGGTTTCGTCAAAGGCACCAAGACGGTTCCAGGGGAAATGGAAGTTGTTGTTTCCAACAAATAATGCCGAAGAGACTAACTATCGATGTGGAAGAAGTCAGCTGAGTACCTCACACCAAAGCAATGTGAGAGACAGCCCACGTACCCAAATAAAAGGTTAAATGATAAAGCTTTCAAAAATTCTTTATTTTATTTTCCCATCACCATTTATCCTCTCATGCCCTCTGCCACCTCCGCCCCGCAGTCACCACCCTGTTGGCCATGCCTGGGAGTTCTCTTTTTTATCTGTCTTTTGCTCAATTCCTCCACAACCTCAACCTCTCCCGGTCGTGGCTGAGAAAACTTTTAAAATGGAAATGTATTTGTGAGATTGCATTAGGCAACATTTCTTAGAGATAAAACTTGAACTCATTGGAAGACTAGGAAAAGCACAAGCCCCACCTGTGAGGGAGTCAGCGCTGTGCACACATTTGGTAAACAACCAGTCCTGGGGGCCCGTGTCCCATGCCTGAGCCTCATCTGGGCTTGATTCACTGAGCGGAGAAACTCAATATTCTTTCTGTTCTGGGGTCCTAACGGGCATTCCACTCACCATCCCTTACAGCGCTTGTGTTCCCCCCTTCCCTCCCAATCTACTTTACAGAGCGGGTTTCAAACAAACAAACACTCAACACAACGAAGATGCTGAGAGACGCAATGGCACTTCCCCCTGGAAATTACTCGCTGCCTGTGGGGGCAGAGGACACAGGGCTCCGAGGGGCACCTCGTTCTGTCTCCACAAAGTCTATCGATTGCAACCCCCGGCTCGGAGGAAAGGCTCGGCGGCAGGCGAGCGGCGTATTTATGACGGCGGCTGCTCGTTACGGCGGCTCTGACAGGGCCCATTAGAGTCGGTGTTTATGTTGCTTATGTATTTTCTTTATCTAATGGCCCTGGCGCTGTGTTCAGTAGCCAGGTGACAAACACCGGGCTGGGACGTGGCTGCCTTCCCCCTCCCGGCAGGAATAAGGAGAACCGCCACGTTCACCGACGCCAAATCGATGCCGGAGGAGAGCCAATGCCACATCTCAGAGCGGAGCCCGGGGCAGGCTCTCCGGGCTGACGCCCTGCGGTCAGAGAGCGCAGAGGGTTCGCCAGGGAGGGCAGCGTGTCCTGTGGCGAAGGGACGCCCGGATGTCACTCTCAGAAGGGGGCTTCCTGCTTCCCCCCAGCTGCACTGAGAGGCCAGGGCTCCCCCCTGGGCCGGCCCAGCACTCTGATGGGAAGCTCCCCGGCCCGCTGGACTGGGAGGACGGGCACCACTGAAAGCCACGCTGGAGAAGGCACCCGAGCCACCCAGGGTCCAGAGCAATCCGAATTCGGTGGGAAGAACCCGCATTCGGTGGTCACAACCCAGCAGCTCCTCTCCCCGAGCGCCTGGGAGCTGCTGAGTCAGGCATGGCCCTGGGCTTAGTCAGAGGGGCTTCTAGGCCCGTGGTCGGCAAACTCATTAGCCGAATGAGCCACATAGCAACAGCACAATGATTGACATTTCTTTGGAGAACCACATTTTTTAAACTTAAACTTCTTCAAACGCCACGTCTTCAAAATAGACTTGCCCAGTCCGTGGTATTTTGTGGAAGAGCCAGACTCAAGGGGCCAAGGAGCTGCATGTGGCTCGAGAACCACAGTTTGCCGACCATGGCTCGAGGGCATCCGGTGCTAAAATGAGGGATGAAAATGAAGGACGTGGACGCGCACTTGAGCTATTTTCTGTGGCTGTGCCCGTGGCTCCTCCTGCCCGTGGCCAAGGGAAGGCCAGCAGGAACCACGCCCGTTCCTTCTGTGGCTCCGAGCCACCACCCAGAGGGGGTCCTGCGGGAGTCACTCACCCAGCGGCCGGCAGCTTGATCTCGTGCAGACCCTGCTGGCACCCGGAGATCCGGATCTGCCCCAGGGGGCTGGCCACCACGCTGTGCTTCACCGCGCAGGCAGCGTCCATCCTCCTCGGACCTACGGAAACAGTGCGAGGAGGGTGAGGACGGGCATGGAAAGAGCGGGGTCGCCTTAAAGCACAGCAGAAACCCTGTGTTTAAGACCGGAAACATCTTCCAAAGCTTCCCCCCCGAGTTTGGAGTTCGGTCCCACCCGGCCTCATCCTACCATCCAGCCACCCTGAGGACAGAACAGCCCGTCGTCGCCCTCGGCGGCACCTCGCTTCGTTCCCGTTACTGCCCTCCTCCCCCCGCTGCCAATCGTCACGGAGGCCGGGGCGAGGCCTCCTCTGGAAGAGCCCGAACACTACACTCCCCCCCCCAGAAAGCAATTAACGACGACCCCGTCCTCACCGATGAAAGCTGCAGACCGGCCACGGCGTTCGGAGCGAAGCACGTGTAAACATCACGTGTAAACACAACGTGTACAGAGCTGCGTGCTCAGCCCCGCACCTGCACCGCCACACCTGTGTCCGGGGCGGGCGGCAGAACAGCGGGATAAAACGCGCAGGCTCTGCAAAGCTTCCAAACGTCCTTACACCCGGACAAACGTGCAAACGCACACACACATCCCGGGACCCGTCCTCGGGCCGGCGGAGGCAGGTGTCAGCTTTGGCCAGCACAGCCACACGTGAACGGGAGCAGACCCACCAAGGGCAGTGAGACGCCGGGAAGGGAGGGGGCCTGGCTGCTAGTTTATTAAAGTCACACTCACCCTGGGAGCCCAGAAGTCACCAGCGCAAGGGAGGGCGGTGTGGTGCGCACCTGGACCAGCCTGCAGTCCTCCTCTCCGACCCCGTGGGCTCCTGACCAGAGCTGAGTGCTCCCTCCCCATCTCCACCCCCCTTCGCTGTCCTGGAGGCACCTCCATGGCCTTGTCCCTGACGGTCACCTGCACGCACGCCTCCCTTATGGCGCATTTCGGAGAAGGCACCGTCCAACCCTGCTCCGCTCCGGTTACCCCAGGATTCTCCTTCCCTGCCACCAGCCTCACCTCCCCGCACCGGCTTCTCAGTGAGCCCGGCTCTCACAAGCTGTTCTCCTCCGGGTGCCTCTCCTCCCTGCCTCCCACCTGCTCCCAGAGACACCCAGACCCTTGAAGAGGTCAAAAGCGTCCCCCCAACCACACCACGTGTAAGCAGTACCCCGAAATTCCATCCCAAGCCGCCAGGCTCCAGAGCCGCCCTGTCCAATCCCCATTTTCTGTGCAAACCCACGGGGGTCCCACGAGGGTCCCACTGGAGCACAGAGGGTTTGATGGGAACCTTCTCCACGGCCCCTGAAGGTCCCCTTCTAGGCACCACAGCCTGTGGGATGGAAACCAAGCTTCCGAGAGGGTCCTCCCGCCCCCCACCCCACCTCACCAGGCAGGGGCAGGGCCCCACCCACCACCCACCACCCACCACCCACCACCCATCACTTTGACTCGGAGCCACACGGCTTTGCCCTGTAGCCGTGGTTGGCAAACTGCGGCTCGCGAGCCACATGCAGCTCTTTGGCCCCTGGAGTGTGTGGCTCTTCCACAAAATACCACGGCCTGGGCGAGTCTCTTTTGAAGAAGTGGCGTTAGAAGAAGTCTAAGTTTAAAAAAGTGTGGCTCTCCAAAGAAATGTCAATTGTTGTCCTGTTGATATTTGGCTCTGTGGACTAATGAATTTGCCGACCCCTGCCCTATAGGATAAAAGGCAACTGACTCTCAGGGTTGGCACAGGACTGGCCCGAACCTGTGTAGAGACCTGGTAGCCGGGAAGGACTGGGGTTATTTATCCCAGCCATAATCGACATTGAGCCCAATGGCCTTGCCCTTTGACCTTGTAATCGAGGATGCTCCACCCTCTGCACAATCTTATCCAACAGCCTCAAAATCTGATCCCTCTTCAGAAGCAGATGGCCACCCCTTCTCCCAGCCCCAGGGGGCCTCCCCCCATTTCCTGGGGCCAGAGCCCACAGCTGTCGCCCACCACACACGGGGACATTTCCAAGCCCCTGAGCCCGTGGCAGGAGCTGGGGCGGGGCACTGGCTACCATAAGTCCGGGTCCTGTTGGTGGCAGAAGCATCGCTCGCACACACGTGCTGGACTGGACAGTCAGTGTGTCCACCACCCAGGCCAAGGGTCCAGGCCCCGTTTTCCAGAGCATGCTCCCAGAGGATGCTCCGAGGAAGGGCTCCGGGGCCCAGGGAGCAGTTGGACACGCAGCCCGTCCCAGGAACACTCAGCTTGCACATTAGCATGTTAAAGCTCGGAGCAATCTCACAGCAAAACCCGCTGTGTGTGTGCGCAGCCTGTGAATGGGCTCCCCATGACCCGGCCTCCACCGGGGTCCCGCTGTGCAGCGCTGGCCCCCGCAGGCCCCGGCCGTTTCCCAGCAGCTCCGGGCCCGGGAGACCTGGCTCGGGCCCCAGCCCTGGAGCCTGACGAGCCACAAGCCCCCTCCCCGGCAGGGCTCCCGCGGAGGCTCCAGAAGCGGAGGCTGGCTAATTTAGGCACAAAAGCAATTCCTGAAAGGCTGTCCCATAACTCAGGACTTCTGGGAAGCTGGAGGAGCGGCTCAGAAAACGGCAGGAGCCAAGGCTGGCCCCCGTCCAGCGCGGCCCTCACCGGCCTCCGGAAACATCTGCGGGGACGGCCAGGGACTGCAGGCATGCAGCTGCCGCTGTTGCCACCGTTGCCCCTGGAAACAGGATGCTGCAGCCCCCGTCAATTCCCTGCTGCCCGCCTCCCTGTCACTTGCCTCTGATTCAAGGCCCAGGCAGGAGCCCAGAGCTGGCTCGGGGGCCAAGCCAGCGCACGCCTGCGCCGAGTGGCAGCAGGGGGAAGGGGCGGCTGCCAGGAGGGGAGGGCTCTGCCCAGATCAGCCCCGAGGAGGATGGGGCCCAGCTCTGCTGCAGAAAGGCAGCGGGAGCAGGAGCGAAGGGGCCGTGTCCACGCCCCCCCCCCCCCCCGGCCTCCATTCCCTCACCAGTCACACTGGCTGCAGCCTCACTGGGTTGGTCTGTGGGGCCAGCTGGAGGGCTCGGGGGAAGCCCTGCATGGGCCGGTGGCGGGCAGCTCTGAGGCCAAGGACCTGCATCCTTCACGGGACACATCCAATCCCCACCTGCTCCAGAGCACCCAGGGAGGCAGACCTGAGAGTGCAGGGGGGGGGCCGGGAAGTCAGGGGGCTGATGAAGGTGACTGAGGACGCAGGGCCCTGTCGGACTTGGCCCACATGCCCCAGTGCCAGGCTCTGACTGGCTGGCTGGCTGAACCTCGGAGGCTGTGAGCCTGGGTGCAGCGGGGAAGGGCTGCGGCCACGCCTGGTGAGGCCCGAGCTGCAGTGTCTGTGTCTACCCAGACAGCACCAGCACAGGGCACCTGGACCTCAGGCACCTGAGGCGTGGCTGCCCACCGCTGCCCCCGCCCGGCTGTCCCTGGGACCAGCACCACAAGCCCAGCTCACGGCGCTGCCCCAGGGCTGCCCGGTCTGAGCTCCCGCCAGGACCAGGCTGCCCGTGTGGCATTAAGAACGAGTCCCGTGGGAGCAACCGGCAAGTCCCAGCCTAAGTCCGAACGAGGCCTGTGTCACTTCTCACCTCAGCCCGCCAGCGGGTCCTGAGCTCTGTGACATCGGAAGGTGGCCCCTTAGGTTTCCGATGGGTTAGCAGAGTCCCCCCACGTGAGGATTCTGGGCGCCCCCCCAGGACTGCGTGGGTGGGGGACCAGCGCCTCTGGGTTTCTACGCCCGTCCGCAGCAGCATTGCTGAAGATACTGCACCACGACCCACCGACCGCCCCTCTGGCAAACGAGGAAGAGCAGCCACTGTTTATCAGCGACGGGAGGTTCCATCAGCCCCGCTGGAAACAGGCTCTGAGACGCCGCAGAAACCTACACCGACAACAGGCCGCTCGGCACACCCTTCCACAGGGAGCGACAACCCGCGGAACGCCGACTCCCACGACGTAACCGAGAATGTCCCTGGGACGGGAGAGGGAGGGCACACGGTGACTCCGGTGCCCCGGGAACATCCCGCCCGGGGCAGAGGCAGGGCTTGCTGTTTCTAGAACCTCCTCCGTGACGGCCAGGCCCCCACGGGCACCGATTCTTGGGCTAAAGGCACAGCAGCTGCCTTCCGGGCAGGAACAAGGAGAGGAACAGTTTAAAACACGGCCATCGACCATCGATTGCTGCTGACACAGCTGCGAGGGAGGAGGCAGCCAGCGGACCTCGGGGCAGAGGGAAGGGTGCCCAGACTGGGCAAACCCGTGTGAATTTGGAAACCACAAGGCTAGAGGGTGCCAGGGAGCTCCCACCAAGCCAGCCCCTGAGCATCTGCCAGCAGCTGCCCGGACCCGCTCCCGCCTTTGAGACCAGCCTCCGCTCACCTGGCCTTCCCGGGACCCCCCAGGCCGCAGTCAGGACACGGGACTCCACAGCTGGAGCGCACACCCGCCATCCTCAGCAGGCCCGCTCCCCACATCACCGCACGGCGGTCACCTCAAGCCACGGCGCGGCTGGCATTAATTGGTGGCAGGAAAAAATGGATTCTGCATGCCTGTTAGGAGACCTCTGGAAAAATGAAGTGCGTTTCGTTTCATCCCCTTTCAACATGAATGGCGTTTAATGTTCACATTAAGCAGCTGGCGCCAGAGGCCGGTTCCCACCACATGAAAAGCCGGACCCCAGAGCCGGGCCGTGTCCTCCCAGCTGCCCGGGCTGTCTCAGAGGCACGCCGGGCCAAGCTGCCTGCCCGGGACCTCTCTGCCAGCCTGTGCTTTTCCCTCGGACCCTCCCAGCAGGGGTGTCCCAAGCAGGAGAACCCTGGACAGAGGCTTCTAGAAGGAATACTGGCCTGCTTTCTCCCAGGCAGTTAACGAACAAGGCGCCCAGACGTTGGCCTTGGTATCTGGCTGGTCAGCAGCCCGGGGCCCCAGGGGAGCCAAAGCCGTCCCGGCGCCCTGTCCCTTTGGCCGGGCCGCTGAGGGTGGCAGAACGAAGTCCCCTTTGTCCCCCTAAAGCACATGTGTCAAACACAAGGCC